ACAAAAAAAGCGCACACCCTTATGTGGAAGCTATTTTTTTTTTTTTCCCCATATGGGAAGCTATTTATGGCTCATGCAATTATTTGTAGTAAAGATAGACAGGTTCAAGGAGTAGTTTCTGTAATGACCCTTTTATTTATGGAATTTATACTTCGTACCTCGACGGGTTCAAGAAAGCCCTCAGTTTTATTAAAACATTTATCCACAGGCGGCAAAAGCTCAAGCACACGGGCATTAGACAATGCATTCCACGCGGCAAGCCTCGTGGAAGCTTCAGTGGACCTGTGTAAATACACGGCGACCTGCCGCCCGAATAACAAGTCACCATAAGACTCGGCTGCAAACTGCTCCACCAAAGTCTCGATAAACGTGGCATAACTCTCGTGAATTTCTTTCTCAAATTGCAATGTGAACTTTTCCTCATCGACAACTTCACCATAAACATCCTGCAAAATCCCGTATGCATCCCTGCTCTTCTCATCCATGAGAATTTCCATCCCCGAAAGTAAAACCGCTGACATGGCGTGCAGCTTCCAGACAACTGGGACACATGTAACAGCCGAGCAAGATAGAGTTTCTATACCCAAGAGAAAAAATAATCCCGCCTTGGAAGCTTCTAGAAGATCTAGATATTTCTCTACCTGAACGGACGAGATTGCACTGAGAAACCAGTGTGCGGGGAGGGGCAATCTCTGGCGAGCCCACTCCACACTCAGAGAAGATAACTCTTGCATAGTCTCTTCCGTATTTTCATAGATAGTCTCCAGAGAACGATTTTTTTTCTTCGTAACGGGGTTTTTTTCACCTGTGGAATTTCCTATGTTCTTCTTTTTTACACCTAGCCACCTGTTTCTAAAATGAATGGCCAAGACATCTGCAAATGAAGCGTATTCCTCTTCTTCATAATTCCATCCGAAAGATTGAGATCCTTTTCTGGAAGAAATGAATTTTCGGATGCTTGAGTTTAGATACTTTAGAACGGGAGCCCGGACTATAAATTTCAGTAACTTATCTATGACGGGACGATTATTCCCCGGGCCCACAAATAAACAGGCTGTAAGGGCACAGTTCAGAACTTGCGTGGCATACGATGAGACCTCGGTGGTAAAGGGTATTTCAGAAAATTCGAGCATGCAAACGAGCAGCCTTGCATCTAGCTGAGCCAAGAAATTATTCAAGGACCAATAGCCACCAGCAGAGGCACCCCACCCAACCCCAACTCCTGGGGCGGGTCCACCTCTGCCGAAATTTTCAACTGGACTCATTTTTTGCCACTCATTGGCGATTAATTTCGTTAAATTACTCAGCAGAAATTGTACTTCGTCAACCCCGGACTTGAGTATGCCATTAGCAAGAATTTTATCTTCCAAAGAGAGTCTCGCGAATTTAGATGGCACATTGTGAACGTCGAGATTTGCACGGCTGATCAACTCATCAACAGAAGTAACTACTTGGAGCAGTGCCTGAAGGCAACATGTAGAAGATATTGCCAGTTGTGGTCTGTTTTTGGTCCTCAAAAGACATAAGTACTTGACGAAGGAGTCATTACTTTTGCCTGAAAACCCAAAGTATCCATTTTTAATAATTCTGAGTCCAATACTCGGGACAAACTCGGGTAGCCAAGGCAAAAGGGCATTTGGCATGCTTGTAATATCCTCTGGGATCATGGCTTTCAGCAAACTGGACAGCATATTCAAAACAGATGAAATGACCCGTAACAACGAATTTACTTTCGACTCCTGTGAGAAGAAATTCTTTCCATCATGTTTAATTTGGCATGCGGAGAGTTCCGAATTCGACACACATGGAATGCTTTTCACTTGTACCCACTCGAGAGATTGATCAATAATCGAACCAAGGAAATTCCACGAACCAGATTCTTCATCTTGCATGCGTGAATAAAAATTCTGAACTTTACCAGCTAAAACATCCAGGAGGAGGTAAGCTTCATTTGCGATGGCACAGTATTCATCCATCATGTCATTGTCAATTAATTTCTCGAATGCGGGCACGCTCAACCATACGCATAACGAAGGGAATAAATCAGAAATTTCAGAAATGCAATATCCGTAACGAAGAAAGACCTTCCAGAGACGTAGCTGCTCGACCAGCAAAGCTGATGATAATTTGCAAGCCTCCTTCCCAGATTTCATCCATTGCTCGAGAGAAAATGTGCGCCGGTACAAGTGCCAGGTCACCTTTTGGAGAATCCCCTCATTCATGAATGTCAAGCAGTTCTTCTTCTCAACCCGGGCCAACACCTTCAGAACACCAAAATAAATAAATACATAACATCAATTTTGCCGTAAAGATGTATTCCTTTTATTTTACGGTATGGTAGATGAGTCTTCCCCCTCCCCCCCGGCTTTTTTGGTTTTTTTTAACAATGTAAAATACCAACACAAGGTAGCAAAACTTAATTCGAAAGCAATAAAAGAAGATAAACCATAAAGGCACTGCTCACTTTTAAGAGCGCAACCGATTTAATCTTGCTAAAATTTGTTTCCATTTGCTCGTTAGATGTGAATCTATTGACAATCGTCTGAACAAGCCTTTCACAGTCCAAAATTGCAGCAGCACATGTAGGGGAATGCCTTGCTATAGCAATCAATATAGTTATCAAGCATTCTTCCAAAGGTGCAGCAGGATCAGTCTGGTACCACAAGAAATAATAAAATGTCATTTTAAAGTTATAGTTTCCCATAGTTTTGTCATGTTGGCGTAAAAAAAAAACTCGAGAAAATTAGTATAAAAGACATTTTACCTCCAAGAGATAACAGATTCTTGGAAGAATCCCCATCCTAACAAGACCGGCAGCAAAATCTTGCCCAGCAACAACTATATCGTCCTGAATAGTGCGTTCGTCTTCAGCCTTTTCACTTTCCGATTCCTCACCAAAACAACGAATATTAGAAGGTTTGGTATTATACTTCCAGAAGCCACCACGAAGAAAACCAACACTAACATCTGGTTTACTTCTAAAAACAGGAGCTGTATAAACATCCTTTGCGTAAGTTGGTGTCTTCTGAATAAAACAAACAATTTCACAAGTTATGACGATGAATTCAAATCCAAAACTACAAATGAGATTTTTCAAGAAACAAAGTCATGCATACCTCTAAAATGTCAAATATGATTTCGTTCACGTCACAGCTTAATGCACACGTTATAGCTTTGGCACAAGAAAGGACCACTGAGTTGTGATTATCATCGAGGGACATTCTACAAAAATAGCATTTCACAGAACATGCTAATTAGCAGCAATTAAGGTTTAAATCATGCATGCAGGCTGTGCAGCTTTGTACTGTTACAGTTATACATTAGCAAGACACTTCACCTTAGTGCTAAAGCAAGCTCAGGTTCTGGACCAAGAGCAAAAGCCCAAATTGCTTCCCAGTCAGCACGCTCAGCATCCGCTGATTTAAAGGAAGAATCAACTTGTTTATTACATATTTCACGAATTGTTCGATCAAGGACAGCTGCAATTAGATGTAAAGCGAGAGTGCGCTGTCCGGGAACCTGAAAATTCCACAAGCACCCATGATCACTGTGGAGAACACATATGTTGTCAAACAGTTGTGCACATTAAAACAAAAACTTAATTTCACTAACCACACTTCTAGTTAGGGCCACTGCTTCTTTTATGGTATAACCAGCGGCACCAGGATCACCTTCAGTTCGAATAAAATCACGTTCAGAAACATTATCGGCACTGTATACACTTTCAAGCGATGCCTTGCCTGCAAAAAGAACACATGCAATAAGCACCTTCACATGGGAAATATATTGAATTAACTGGCACGTGATGGAAACAAGAAGCCAGCAAGCTGTAAATAAGTAGCACAACATTACATATCTGATTCATCACATTATGAATCCAAATTCAATTCACTGATATTGAATGTACGCTTCGACTAACCAGCATCTGGTACATGAGCCAAGTCAATATCGATAATGCTACCATCCAGGGAAAATCTCAAGTCTCTAACATGCTCAACTCTTTTGCTCCAAGCATCCCACATGCTACGGTTTTCAGGGGTTTTATTTGGAGAAGCTCTATCATCTTTATCTAGCAGTGAGTCTCCGGGAGCTAACTCTACAGGCTTTTGGGAGATAGTGTCACCAGAGCTAGCTGTTAACTCCGAGTAATATTTCTCGTGTTTCATACTATCTGCTTCATTGCCAGCAATGTCCAATGAAGATAACTTCTGCCCCTTGACTTTTGATAGGCCCCTTTTTCTCAGGGCATTTATCAATGCCGGATCTAGCTTTGCCATTAATTCAGCTTGTGCTTCAGCGATTTCTTTGGCAGACATTTTTGCCATTCGAGCACGGTTTTCAGCATCAATCTGGCTCTCAAGATTCTCTTTTTCTCCAACTATCAACTTCTGATGAGAAAAACCAGAATCCATCAAAGAATTTTGCATTTCCATATCGGCTAGGATTTCCTCACTTGGCCTCTCCCGCTCGTATTTAGCAATGTCATTCTGTGATTCTTGCAGTTGAACAATATTTCCACTGTTGCTATCTATGAGGCTATGAACCTCTGACACAACTTCAGTTCCCGTTTCTACTTCTCTTCCGGATAAAACCTTGTCATCCCCCAGAGTCATACACGGTTCATTTACATGATCAATGTGTGAAGTCCTATGCAACTCAGAATCTCCTGGACTGGTGAACTTCCTTTTTAAATTATCTGAATAAAATTCTTTTTCCTGCTTCTTATCATTGAGCACAGAGTTCCCCTTGTTTTTCACTATCTCTTGCCACCGGCTAAAATTTAGTCCTTTCTTTTCCTTTCGTTCTACTGGTTTAGCAAAACCAGCAGCCATTATCATCATATCAGAGTCTCCCTCTTCTCCAACATCCTCATCCATATCATCACTATCATTAATAGCATTAAAGTTTCCAGCTTTAGGAGACCAATTCTGTTCAGAATCGTTAGCAAATCAATAACACAATCATACAAATTTCCCAAGCTAACATATTCAAAAAAAAAAAAAAAAAAAAAAAATAGTTCTTCCACCCAATTCCACAAATCAATGATGACAAATTATAGTGACAGATATATGAAGAGAACACCAAAACAAGTGATGGCGAAAAACAGCAGAAGAGAAGCAACACATACTGGGCCGTGAGAGCGGTGGCGTGCCACCGGAAAAGGCAGAACAGAGGGCCGAGGGGCTGTCGGCGGGCCCAAAGACCGAGATGAATGGATATCGGAAAAGCCCTTTTCGAATATGCTCCCGACCAACAGTGAAGCATCGTCTTCATTAATTTGAAGTCGGTTTGCTCCAGAAATTCTGGGTTTTTGGTTTTTGCTACCTCCGCTATTGTCTTTCTTCATCATAGATTCCGAATTGTTCCCAAGTATGGCTTATTGTCGTGCGAAAAGGACCACTCGGTCCGTCTGTGTTGTGCTTTTCCGGTTTTTGTTCTCGTCAGAAGGAAGACTGAGGTTGAATCGGAGAGAGAGAGCCAACCAGCCAGGTTTTTTGTTTCATTCAGTTGCTGCCTTTTGGAAATTTGCAGATGGAGAGAAGAAGTGTATGGGCCGGTTTGAAATTCATCAGAATATGGGCTTTGGCAAGTTCATTTTTTGAGAGATTTTTTTCAACCTTTAAGTTTATTTGTGCCTATGGTTAATGGAATTTTCTTTTTTTCTTTTTTTTTTGGAAATAAATTTGGTAAAGTTCCACAAAAAAAACAAAAAAAAAGCATTTTTATTTTCATTTCTATTAAATTTAAAAACTTTAAAACACAAACATAGATTACATCTGCAATGAATCTTTTAATTTGTTTTGCAATTCAGCCAAGTAGAGTGTAAAGCTTGTATGTTATCCTTAAATGATGTAGCTAGTGAAACCGTAATGTAGGACGACATAAACAAATACATTCACGAGCAACAAGTTACAAATCTCACAACAATACTAGAAAATCAAATTATAGTTGTAGATGGAGCAAACAACGACTTAGATGTTTTTCAAACATGCATCGAGTTTGAAGCAAAAAAATGTGTGGGGCCCTAATATGTTATACATGAAGCATGCATCGATAGAAAAACCTCCACATCGGACATCCTAGTACGGGTTGTGGGAGGTATGGTTAAATAAATAGTAGAAATGCGATTAACATACTCACTTACCTGACGGGTTATTGGGCGATCGTGAAAGCTCATGGCCTAGGGTGGCGGCATCCATTGCACTTTGGAGGTGCGTCTCACCTAAAGGTCGACCCCTTTGAGGTCGAGCCTATGTCATCGTCGTGCAGCCCTTACCTAATTCATAGTCTTAATTATTATTCAAGGCCCATTAATCTATATGGCCCTTGAATTGTTCTAAAATTGGCCTGCCACATTGAATCTATCAAATCAGCCAGTTCATTAGATGAAATTTATTAGATAACTACATAAAAAACGCAAAGCCTGATAATTAAAGTCAATTGCATAATGTCAAAATTGCATTTTGTAACCTGATAATTAAAATTAATCTCAAGTCAAATGAACCATGCTTTGTTTGACTTCAAGTCAAATGAACCATGCTTTGTTTGACTTCAATAACACGTAGATGATGATAAATAAATTTGCACACATACCCGTTTTACATTTGTGTTTATTAATTACTAGTACAACGCCCATGTATTACACGGATTCTTGCTAATTTTTTCTTAAAATTTAAAATTAATTGAGAAAAAGTAGTTAAAATTTTAAATACCTTTTATAAGAATATATATATTATTATATATTTAGTATGTCACTTTTTATTTGTGTAACCTACATGTGTTATATTATAATATTTTTTTAACATACAACATATAACTACATTAAACATAAATATATCAATTAAGAAATAATTTTATTTTTCTAATGAATTTTAATAAATATTATTATTTATTATTATTATAAAGATAAATATAATTTATTGATTTCATATATACAATGGATGTCAAATCGAGATAATTAAAAGATGATTAATTTGATATATTATATATGTAAAACCGATAAGAAATACAAAAGTTATCAACTTTTAAAATACCTTTACAATTCAATAGCTAATTGAAGGAAATAAAGAAAAAGTCAGGGATATATTAGTCACTTATAATTAAAATGTTATATTAGTACAAGTGATATTAAAATACCTAAATTAGCTAAATAATATTTATAGAATGTCCGAACCTAGATTATTAATTATTAATATATCAATATTATTTGTCCCAACCTAATCACGAAGCATGATTCTTCGCCAAATAGGATTCCGAAGCACCAGAAGCAGCCATGTAGGCTCAGCACATTCAGGAATTATATATATGAGGGATTTATGGACAAAAGTTACTTGGGCCTCATGTAGTCTTTGAGCAACATTTAATATTACATTCCAGTTTTGGCATAAATGTTTTTATAAATATTTAAGGCGAATTTTTAAGTTTACCACATGATTTTAAAGTTTTTGCATTTGTGCCAAGGGTGGGATATTATTTGCATTCCTACCTATTTAAGTAAATTTAATTGGCCAAAGCAAAAAATATCAGTTACCTTAATAAAATCAGATTATGTAACTGCCAATCCACCTTTACAGAACTTGCAAAAAAAAAAAAAAAGATCAACTCTCCTCAAATTGCGGGAGTAATAGTTTGTCGTTTTTGTTGAAAAAAAAAAAGTCAAAATATATTGTAAGTGTATATATTCTAATATCTAGGATATTGTTCAATTTAAATTAAACGATATAGATTTTGAAGCTACATGATCAGGCATGCGTTGTTTATGTTCTATATACAGAATATATACATCACATATATTGTCATGAAAACAACTACAAAATTATTGCAGTCGATTTTGAATAGACAGTATATATTGCGTTTATAGTTAATATATATTCAGTATATAACCCGATTTTTATTTGCATAACAACTACAATTGTTATGTTTGAATTTTTATTCAGTATAACTTATCATATACATATCATAAACTGATAATAATTATTATTTTAATAAATTATTTTAGTATATGTCGAGTATATGATAACAAATGAAGAACGGGCCGGATTAGAAACATACGAAGCACGTGCGATAAAAACATATACTGAACATGAAAACATATACTGAACATATACTGCACATACCCACAACATATACCGACGTTTATGAGTTTACGACATATTAATATCATCCCATCAATAATGCCATTAAAAAGGTCCAGAAACTCCCAATCCACGCATCCACATTCCCCTTCCTGCACGTCCTCCATCTTCACCATCAACCTTCGAAAATCGTTGTATGGAATTTTTAATATCTCTAAACGCCGAAAATCGTTGCTTGAGAGTTTAATATCCTAGTTTGAAGAAAAAAGACCAGGCTTCGGGGATAAAAAAAAAAGAAAGAAAAAAGAAAAGAAGATGTATGGAATTTCGAATTTTAATCGATTGAATTTTTTAGATCTAATTTTTTAGATCTAGTGGTATGCTATGGCCAATTGGTCGTCACTTCTCATCGTTGTCGAGCGATTCCGACTACTCTTCATCACCGTGGGCGTGGTGTGTGTATGTGATGGAGAACGAAAGAAAATAGAGAACAAGAAGAAAGAAGACAAAATATTTTTACTACCCGCAAGCGTACGAAGTAGCTGCAGAAAGTATGGAGGAATAAAGATGTGAAGAAGAAAGAGAAAAAGATGTGAACAGATAAGGATTGAGTTAATTTCCTATCTCATAGTCAATTATCGTAGTTTTGCAAATAATATTTGTAGATTTAGTCCATTTGCTAATATTTATAAGGGAACATTATTCATGTAATAAAAAATTTTATGTATCATGCAGGATGCAATTTGACCAAAGTTATTTGGGCCTTGTATATCTGAGCAAGTTTATATCTGAGCATGGGCTTTTTGAAGAGCCTCGTCTCTTTTATTTTTGCGCGGGTGCAAGAGGTTAACAAACAGGTGCACACATTGGACGTGAATTTTAGTTTCATCTAATAATGTTATATATAATAAAATTGGAAGGAAATGGGAAGTGATTTTTGAAAAATTATGATGATTTGATTGATGGTTAGATGTGGTTGGCAGTATGTATCTCTAAATATTGGACTCTGAATATTAAT